CACAACGCCTGGCCATTTTTTTTTTGGTTGCAGCCATCATTGTTGTTTGGCGGGCCCGGGCTGGGGATTCGAACCCACCACCTTAGGTGTATGTGACTGGCGCCTTAGCCGCTTGAGCCACAGGCGCGGAGCCCCCCAGTCTTTTTGAATACAAGCAAAACCCATTTGTTTCTCAGGTGGTTTACTCATCATGTAAGGGAACTTCTTAGATTCTAAACCAATCTTGAAACAAAGATGCAAATAGGCCAACATCCTTGGAGGTGGGGGCTCACAGCCCAGAACCTTCCATCTGCTGCTGAGCTTGGCCCTCCTGAGAGCTCCTGCCACCATGCTCCCCAGCTTCAAAATAGGAAGAACCCCCCCTTCCTGCCTGGCACCTGCTACTTCATTAGCCATCTCCCACATCCTTGTCCTGCCCAGGACATTCCTCACCCCCTCATCTGTGTTGCACTCCCTGTCTCTGTGAACTTTAGAAAATTGTGTTCCTGGATCTCAGAATGCCATCTAAGATCCCTCTGTAACTTCTGACCCTTCTGTGTTTTCTAATCTTGGTGACTTTTCTATTTCCAAGACTGACTACAACACCCCAGGTGTGGACTGGATAACAAGTTCAGTGGTGTTATCAGTATTTCTATGGAAACTTGGAAACCCATCTGGCTGAAGGGAAGGGCCGGGGGGCTAAGAGATTGTTCTTGAAACTTTTTACAGATGATATGACCCCCTAGATAAGAATGATTGATCACCAAAAAATTGGCACAATAACCAAAAAGTGATTAATAAAAATATACACTTAATTCACATAAGTTCAATTAATAAAAATACATAATGAGTACACATAAAGGCAACAGTCAATTGGGCTTAATAGAAGAACAGAAGCTGAAGAGTTGTTTTTATTTGTTTTATTTTGCTTTGTACATTTGTAACCATCCATCAATTATTCCATGAAGAGGCAGGATTGCCTGGTTACAGAGAGTGAGCCCCAGAAGTCCCATTATAGGAGTTTGAATTCTGGCTCCACTTTACTGAGTTATCTTGGGCAAGTTACCGAACTTCCCTGTACCTTGGTTTCCTCATGTATAATACTAATGTTATTAACGAGGTTAATAACAGTTACCTATCTCATAAGGCTGTCGTGAATAAGTATCATCTAATACTTTTGAACGTGCCCATTAAATTGTAAACACTCTCAATCAGTGTTGTTATTCTTCCATAGATTACCTTAGCCTGAGGATTTTCAACCCATGCTTTATAGCTTTTTTCTCTTTATTAATTCTTATTTAGGAGAACCTTAAAGGCAGTGACTGTTTAAAATTACAGGAAGCTAAAGATACCCCTTCTTGGTATCTTGGCCAACTTCCAATAAGTCTTTGCAACAAGAGGTATCAATAGCAAATAGCAAAGTATCAAAAGCAAATATGTTACAAAAAAAATCAAAAAACTAAGGTACCAGTTATTTTCTAAGCCTCAGAAATTAAATATTAAAAATAAAGGATGGGTAACAGAGATGACCTTAAAAGGAAACGACCAAGACGTAAGCAATGAATCTACAAACACTGGAAATGTTTGACAGAAAACGTGTATCTTTCCATCACATTTGTATGGGAAGAACATGAGATAAGTGAAAGCAGTTTAGAATTTTACTTTAGATATAATTATACGACTCTATAGTATTTTTTGTGTCTGCCATTGATTGCTCTCCTAGCAGGCTCTTTTCTTGTGCGCTCACAAGAAGCAAGCAGAAAAGGAGTCTAATGAGATAAAACGGGGGAACTCCAGGTCCTGGCAATGTGCCCGCACAGAACCACTTCCCTGCTGCTCCATGTTTACAGAATTTTATTTGCATAGAAGAACTGCAGGAGCTCTGGAGGATAATGGCTCTGAAAGAAAGCAGCAAAGGTACATATAAGGGAGGGATTCAGTAAATCTCCTTGAATATATACCCAGGAGTCCGTGGTCAGCGCAGATGATGAGGATAAGCAGTTGGGAGAGGCGGAGGCCTCATCGCCTGCCTTCTGCTTATGACCAGCACTGGGCCTGCCCATCCAATCCTCTGTGCATTTTGCCATTTACATTGTATGATGGGCTAATTGCAACAGAAACATAATTGGTCTGACTCATTCTATGAGGGGCAGGTAAATCCTCGGTGGGCCTGGCCATTTTCCAGGAGGGCAGAGACCCTAAGAGAATTCACTTCTGCCTTGGTTCACTCACCAGCTGCCAGCAGAGTTTGGGGTTCCTTTGATCATCTTCGTTCTGGAAGCTGTATTCCTTCCTTAGTTTCAGATATGGAGAACAAGCTCGAAGAGTTGTTTTGCAAGCCTGAGGACAATCATATTACCGTCCAAAATATTAGAGAGTTCTGTAACCCCAAGCAAGGAAGACCATCCCACATTATCATACCCCGTCTGTGGTCGGGAAGCCACTGAGAGTGTAAATGTCACTTCCAGGGGGGTTGAAAATTTGAACCATAATGGATGTGTGCTTATAAAATGGTCTTTTAGTTTGGAGGCTGGTGGGAAAGGCATAGATTTTTAGCTGATTCACAGCCCTTGTTATTGTCCCATAGATTTAATATCTCTGTCTCTCTCTATCTCTCAACTTAAGAGAAACGAATGGTTTGGTAGAAACCTTTGTTCCCGATGGTTTTCCACCATTCACCTAGTCCCTTTCCAAAGTAGCCCTGAATTTGATCCAACCCTGTTAGACACATTTTCTCTAAAACTAAAACCAAAGTTCCATAGGGAATTAAGCAGCCAGGTGTGGGAGATCCATACCAGCACAGTGACAAAATGGGCCTGCGTCAATATCCTTGTTTTATGTTGGCTGAACACTGATTAAACTCAGACCTCTCTGTGCCCCGCCCCTCACCTAAGCTCACATGGCCTTGACAGGTGTTGGGCTTGGCCAAGTGGGGCAGAAGCAAGTGGCAAGTGACACACTTGCCCAGAGAGAGTACAGTGAGGAGGCACCTTGTCTAGGACTCACGCAGATAAAGTTAAATTACTAAAAAAATATAATGAGCACATATAAAGGCAAAAGTTAATTGGGCTAATTCACCCACAGCTACACTGAAAGGGGTTCCCAGGACCCCGGTAGCTCAAATCACCAGGGCTGCACCCCAACTCCTTTATGAATAGTGTGGAGGTTTCACACAGATGATCTTACCTTAGCAACCTGGGGGTTTCTATCCTGTAAATGGATCAGGAGAGCACCTTGGGTCTGCTTAACCTGACAGGTGAAAAATTTCTTCCATTTCCGCCCAGCAGAGGCAGCCAATTGCCCAAACAAAACAAAGGCTGAGTATCTCAGATTGTCATCTTCCTGTGGGTCCCCGTCAACAAAATAACAACAAAGCCAGGTCATTCCCAAAAGGCAACTACATCAGAACACATCCCAGCTGTCACCCCTGAATGTCTATTACATGGTAGGCCATCATAGGCCATCAGATCTGTCTAAAGCACCAGCCGAGTGAGGGAGGGACAGAGTGGCGGGGGCCGGAGTCTTCAGGGAACCTCTTTTCTAGCAGCCCAGAGGATTAGCTCGGGGGATCACTAGTGCTACTCCCAGCTTCTCAACTTTTTCACTCTTTATTCATGTTTTAGAGAAAGAATACATTTACACGGTTCAAAACTTTTTAAAAACCCAAAAGGGTCTCCTTCGTACCATCCTCCACCTGCCACTAAATTTTCCTCCCCACAAGCTAACGAAGTTATAAGTTTTGTGTATAGCCCTCCAGAAAATTTAGAAAAGAAAAATACACATTGCATAGTCCTTTCCCCTCCCCTCTTTGTTGCATAAACGGAAGTGCACCGTGCCACTGTCACGAGGAAACTTGATTTTTCCATGAATCGCTCTGGGAGATTTTTCCATGTCAACATATAAGGGAGTTTTCACTTTTATTTCTTTTGTTTCCTTTTCCACCTCAAAATTTATCTACCAGTTCCCTGTTACTCCAAGCATTGTTGTCAGGTTTCCTCTCTTTAATTTTTTTTTCCAAGTTTCTGCCCTTGGTAATGATAATCAGGGTTCTTCCCCCAACACCCTCCCAGCTCTCCCTGCTTTTAGTCCTATTGGTTGGTTTGTCCCTGAGTGCTGTCAGTGGGCTCAGCTCTCTCTTTCTCTCTAAAGTCAGCTGTTTGATCCAAAGATCCCCCTTTTCAGGTAAGAAGACCGAGGCCCCAGGGCATTTCAGCAACTTGCTGGGAATTGCATTATCAGACAGCCTTGAGCCAGTGTCATGACCTGATTTGCTGACTCTGGGTGCACAGGCTTTTTTTTTTTTTTTTTTTTTTTTTTTTTTGGAGACAGGGCCTCAAGCTATCCCCCTGGGTAGAGTGCTGTGGCTAGACAGCTCACAGCAACCTCCAACTCCTGGGCTCAAGCGAGTCTCCTGCCTCAGCCTCCCAAGTAGCTGGGACCACAGGCACCCGCCACAACGCCTGGCTATTTTTTGGTTACATCTGTCATTGTTATTTGGCGGGTCCGGGCTGGATTCGAACCCACCACCTTAGGTGTATGTGGCTGGCGCCTTAGCCACTTGAGCCACAGGCGCCGAGACGGTGCACAGGCTTTTAATCAACATTTTGTGGTCCTCTCTAGCTCTAGGAACAGGACCAGGAGCATCTAGAACAGGGGGTCACAAAGACTGGAGCAAGACTGAGGACCACTGATCATTTTGTGAAGTATTTTAAAATATTCTTTTAGCACATTTGACATATATAGACTTTGCCTCAGGGTTACATTTTTTTCACTGCTCTGAATGTGTGTCTGTGTGTGTGTATTTAATTCAATCCAACCAACATTATGGCTGGGCACAGTGGCTCTTGCTTGTAATCCTAACCCTTTGGAGGCTGAGACAGGAGAATCACTGGAGGCCAGGGGTTTGAGACCAGCCTGGGCAACATAGAGAGCCCCATCCCTACAAAAATAAGAAAAATTAGTCAGGTATGGTGGTGCATGCCTGTAGTTCCAGCAACTTGGGAGGCTGAGCCAGGAGAATCACTCCAGCCCAGGAGTTTGAGGCTGCAGTGAGCTACAAAAGCACCACTTGTACTCCAGCCTGGGTAAACTCTCTCTTAAAAAACTTTTTTTCTAATTAAAATAAAACTAACACTTACGTCATCTAATAAAGTCCGGGTCTGAAGGGTGATGTCTATGAAGAAGGACCCCAGGGCTTTGCCCTGGATCTTGCCCAGAATAATGGTCAGAGTCTTCATACTCTCCTGGATGACTTCAGAACTCACAGGGTCATAGAGCCCATGCACCAGCAGGCCCAGGACAATTTTCTTATACTTTCTCACCTGTTTTCCAGGGTTGAAAAGCATTAGTAGCACAGGAATTGCTCCCCATGAGAAGAAAGACAATTCTACTTTTAATCTACCCATCACCTAGGACTTAGACTAAGAGACCATAGCTTTCTTCAGGATCTGTACCAGAATAGTCATAAAAATACAGATGTTTCCACTAACTCAACCCAAGCACCCAGTCTTAGAAGGAGACGAGAAAGAGAGGTCTGGAGTGTGGCCATTGCACGGGCAAGGCTGGTGAGGGCACTTCAGGGAGTGTGGTGGTCCTGCATAATGTAGGCCAGAGGTGTTCAACCTTTCTTTAATCGGAGGCACCCTGGAAGAAGAAGAGTCATCCTGAGCCGTCTAGTAAACACACAAACATTGACAAAAGCCGATTAGCAAAAAAGGTCTGTGTGTACTCTTTGTGATATCTAACACCACAACTAAGCCAAGAAGTTTCTCAAAAAATCAGCACGCAGCCCACAGGTTGGACACTCCTAACTTAGGCCCTAGATCAGTGATTTTTGAACCGGTGTGGCGTGAGAGGATCTCAGGTGTGCCACGAACCTTTTTAACAGTAACTAATTATTTTCAAAAGAAGTTCAAAGCACAGTAAATATATATTTATACCTCAACATAATTTAAGCGTGCCAGAGAAGTTTAACTATAGGATCCAAGTGTGCTAGGAGATTAAAAAAAGGTTGAAAACCACTGCTCCAGACTCTAGGGGCTGGGAGTACTAGGTACTTGCCCAGTGGGGGGAGAAGAAATGGTCATTGAAATTGGCAAATGCTAAAGGAGGAGGCGGGAACAACATTTACCAAACAAACATCAGTTATTAGAAACTACTGACATCCACCAAGGAGGGTGGTGTCCACTGTGCGAAAATTCTGCCTGCAGTTCTGTTTCCTATAGCTGATAAGGTCGAGGTGTGGTGACCCCCGAATGAGCCGGACCCTCACACCATCTCCTTCCCTCCAGTGTGATAGGAGGCTGCAACTTGCTTCTTGCCAGTAGGACAGATGCCATGAAGGTGACAGGTGCCACTCCTGTGGTTACTTTACATGACAGGAGACTGTCTTAGCAGACAAGAGTAGGCAACACTCTCCTGCTGGCCTTAAAGGAGGGAGCAGCTGTTTTGTGAGAAGTGGCTGCTTGGCACTGAGACTGGGCTGCAGTGCACAGCTGGCAAAGAAAACAAACCCTAGTCCTGCAGCTGGAAGGAACTGAATCCCACCAACAGCCACATAAGGCTGAAAGAGGATCCTGAGCTTCAGAAAGGAACGCAGCCTGGACGACACCTGACTGCAGCCTTGTGACAGCCTGAGCTGTGGACCCAGCTACGTGTACCTGGACTCCTGACCCATGGAAACCAGGAGGGAATGAACGTGTGTTGCTGGGAGCTGCTAAGTCTGCAGTGATCAGTCCGGCAGAAACAAAGAGCCCACACCCCAGTCCTGGGGACTCCACGCCCTGAGAGTTGGGGAAAGTCTGGAGGGCTGGCTGAGCCCTACCTTCCTTCCTTACCTTGCTGGGGGCTTCACGAGCCAAGGTTCCCAGGCCTCTCATTGCCATGTGACGCTTTTTAGCACTGGGGTCTTGGGCTCTTTCTGCCAAGATGAGAAGCACCTTTTTCAGAGGCTCCCTCTTCTGGAACCTCAGTTTCCAGAAGACCTGGGTGATGGGTCAAAAACGGGTTCATTTGAGAGTGCTCAGAGTCACAGCCAACCCCAACCCAACTTCTCCGTCTAAAGAAAAGCCCGCGCCTGCCTAGTCACTTTTACCCCTTCTTTCTCCAACTGAAGGATGCCTGCTTTTTACTGGAAGCCACGGAATGTGGACATGCATATGAAAGTTAGGGTCAAGGCAGTGAAAGATCCAGACAAGATCAAAGACAAAAGCCAGGCCAGGCATGGCGGCTCATGCCTGTAATCCTAACACTCTGGGCAGCCGAGACAAGAGGAGCTCTTTGAGCTTAGGAGTTCAAGACCAGCCTGGGCAAGAGTGAGACCCCGTCTCTCCTAAAAATGGAAAAACTAGGTAGATGGGTGCCTGTAATCCTAGCTGCTGGGGAGGCTGAGGCAGGAGGGTTGCTCAAACCCAAGAGTTTGAGGTCTCTCTGTGCCACAGCACTCTACCCAGGACAACAGAGTGAGACTCCATCTATAGTCCTGTTACTCAGGAGGCTGAGGCAGGAGGATTACTTGAATCCAGGAATTCAAGCTTGCTGTGAGCTAGGCTGAGGCCACGGCACTCTAGCCAAAGACAAAAGAGTGAGACTCTGTCTCAAGTCAAAAGCCACCTCCCTCCCCATTTTTCTTGGAAAGAAGGATGGGAGGAGACTGGATCCAGATCCAGCGTCTCCTTAGCACAATGAACGAAATTTGGCCATTTCCAGGCCTTGTTGTTACTTCTGAACATTCGCCACAGTTCACTGTATATGTTTATTATCACGTTGGTAGCAAGTTAGATTCTTCTCAACTCATCTTCTTGCCATCCTCTAAACATTCTGTTCATGTCATCAACGAATGGTCACCAAATTTTTTTTTTTTTGCCATTTTTGGCTGGGGCTAGGTTTGAACCCATCACCTCTGATACATGGGGCTGGCGCCCTACTCCTTTGAGCCACAGGCACCACCCCATCACCAAATTTTTTTCAGAAGGAAGGAACCAGGTGGAGCGGGCCTGACTAACCGCAGACCAGACAAGCACCTATCTTACAGAGCAGCCACTGGGAAGGGACATTTGTTCCTAACATTCTGTGTCAGACCTTGGAAAAGAAAGATGTTCTTTTCTTCTTGGGTGGGGAAGGCAGGACGGAGGGGCGCTGATCCAGGATTCTCCTCTGTATTTGGTCCATGGGCCTTAAAAAGAAAAACCATCATATGAGTCTCAAATACTCATCATCGCCCAACACTGTTACACAGAGCCCCCGAACCAGTTAAGAATAGAAAGTGGCAGCTCAGGGCCTGTGGCTCAAGTGGCTAAGGCGCCAGCCACATACACCTAAGGTGGCAGGTTCGAATCCAGCCCAGGGCCTGGTTGCACCCATCATTGTTGATGGCTGCAACCAAAAAATAGCCCGGCGTTGTGGCGGG